CCCTGAGCCCCCCACACCCCACTGACACCAGCCTGGAGCCCCCTGAGCCCCCACACCCTGCTGGAGCCCCCTGAGAGCCCCCACCCGGGCCGAGTCCCCCAAGCCCCCACACCAGGCACCCATGTGTCATCAGTACCCACCTTGTGACATTTGTCTTGAGTTTCTAGCAGTTCTTTGCTTTTAATGTGAAGCTTTTTTTCCATGGAGTTAGTCTTAGCTGGAGAGTCGAGCCCTGCAGCTACTGATCTGTAAAGATAGAGAAAGGGCTACAGCTGGATCAGTGCTCCAAAGTCACGTACCCACTGTCAGGGAGCCTGAGCTTCGGCAGGTACACGTTAAACACCTTCAGACAAGGTCAAGGGAACAGCTAATCGGTGCTGCAGCGCTGTGATCATTTAAAAAACAAAAACTCTCAATCCTGTTGCACAAGTCTCTCACAGAGGTAGCGAACTTCTCTCCAGCAGCAAGCAAAGAGAGCTAGCATTCTGAATGCACCTGAACTGTACAAGACAAAAAGCACTAAAAATTAATTGTATAGAGGGGCTATAAACAACAATGAAACAAACAGAACTCATCACAACCCATACAGCAAAGCAATACAGGGCCCAGAGAATACCGTCTGCTGTGCGTACAGCTCCCCAGGCAAATTTCTGACCTGCCCTGGTGACTTCCACACACTCCAGCTCTCTGTCCAGCCCTGAGCAGGACCTCCTGCAACTCTCCTTCCAGCTCACCTGGCTGGTTTACTTATCTGATTAACCCAGAAAAACATCAGAACCTTCAATCAAGCTCAGCATGGAGGTCACCCGCTCTGAAAGACCCAGATGGAAGAATAATTATCATGCTGGTGAGACGACGGTTAGGCTCATCAAGCTCAATGCGGAACGAGCTCTCTCTCACCCGCTCCCGAGACACAGACTGGACTGGCCCACCTGAGAGAGACGGATCGGACCGGCACAGGAGCGGAGAGACTGGTCCGCCCCCGAGACACAGATCGGACCGGCGCAGGAGAGAGACTGGGCCGCCCCTGAGACACGGACTGGACCTGCCCAAGGAAGACCGGCCCACCTGAGAGAGACGGATCGGACCGGCACAGGAGCTGAGAGACTGGCCCGCCCCTGGGACACGGACTGGACCTGCCCAAGGAAGACCGGCCCACCTGAGAGAGACGGATCGGACCGGCGCAGGAGCGGAGAGACTGGACCTGCCCAAGGAAGACCGGC